ACACTAAGTTTGCACTAATGGCACCGTACAGGGCGCCTCTAGCGCCACGGCTTAACCGCGTACTCGGTTTGCGCAGCGATCCACTGCGAGTACGCGGGAGTGGTCCTTAGATAAGAACCACAACGTCGTCAAAAAATTCGAGCTAATCCGACTCGATGTAGACCAAATGTTTAATGGTGGTCTTGCTGAACTATTGCACTGTTGAACTGTTGAACTAATTTGGGTAATATAGAGGTTACAATAAAACACTATGTACTTAATCTGAATTCTTCCTTTTAATATTTGATTTATTTGACTATACACTTGACTGGTGAGATAAATGATAGCCCGTGTTTAAATCGCCCCGCGCCATCTACATTTCTTTATTGCTACTAATGATAGTCTTAAACAATGCTTATTATTAAGTAACACGAAAAAAACCACTAAAACACTTTAATGTATGAAATTTATGACCCCAAATGTCAAACAATTAAATCTAATGTAATTTTAAATGGAGAGAAACTGAGTCTGGTAGATACCACGATTTTTCTTGAAATCACATTAGATGCCAAGCTTCAATGGAGCCCCCATATATCAAAATTAGCAAGCAGACTTAGCTCTGCAGCATATGCTGTAAAAAAGTTAGGAAGTCTTATCAGTGTTGAAACAGCTAGACTAGTTTACTTTAGCTATTTACATAGCATAATGTTGTATGGTGTTTTACTATGGGGACGCGCAGCTGACACTGAAATTATATTTGTTTTACAGAAGAGATAAGCCACAGCCAAGCCATAAGAGCAATTTATGATTTAAAGTCTAAAGAGTCGCTGCGGCAAAAATTTAAGGAAATTAATATATTAACTTTGGCCTCTCAATACATTTATGAAAATGTAATGTACGTATACAAAAATAAAAGTAAATTTACAAGAATAAGTGGTATTCATTCCGTAAATACTAGGAACAGACACGAGCTAGTAGCACCAGTTACTCGACTCTATCGAGTCAGTAATTCATTCTTGGGGCGATGTATACGCTTTTACAACAAAATTCCTGAAAAGATACAAAATTTGACCTACTCAAAGTTCAAAAACATTAATAAACTACGAGGGCGGCACTGAAAATTTCGGGAATCAAGGAAGTGACACAACATTACTATTTAAAAATGTATTTGCCTTTCGAAGTATTCTCCGCGAAATTTTACACATTTTTCCATACGATCGAACCAATCATTGAAGCAACCATTCCATTCGGAAGTTGGGGTCTCCAAAATAGCCGTTTTGTAGGCGTCCACAGCTTCTTCAGGTGATGAAAATCTCTGTCCACGCAATTTATTCTTTATTTTAGGGAAAGTATAGAAATCATTAGGGCTTAGATCGGGGCTGTACGGCGGATGGTCTAATAATTCCATGTTTTCCTGCTCTAAAACTCTTTTGTTCTGTGTACGGTGTGAGAACTCGCATTGTCGTGATGGGGGATGATGCGGCGGTTGCAGTTCTCTTTACGGAGTTCAGAAACGACCTGTGGCAAACAAATGCTAGCATACCATTCTGCATTAACCGTTCTTTGTCCCTCAAGAGGAATAGTCGTAACATGGCCGGTTTTGGAGACAAACCTGACCACCATTTTTTTTGCAACACTCCGTGAACGAACAATTTTTGTTGGCTTTAACTCATTTTCGAACACCCAAACTCGTGACTCGTGACGTTTCGGGTTCGTACGCGTATATCCAGAATTCGTCACCTGATACGATGTTATGTACAGCATTTGAGGATCCTGCGTGGAATCTTTCGAGAGTTCTGACGCACCAAGTAAGGCGAGCCGCTTTTTGCTCTTCACAGAGCGAATGCGGTATCCATCGGGAAAACAACTTTTTTACACCTAACTGTTCATGCAAGATTATTTGTATTTGACTCATGCCAATGTCTAAAGTTGTCTGAATTTCGCGGTATGTCAGATGTCGATCTTCCTCAATCAGCTTACGCACAGCATCAACGTTTTCTTGGGTGACTGCAGTTTATTGGACGACCTCGACGGGGATCATCACTGAGCTTGACACGTCCACGTTGAGATTCAGCAAACCAGCGATAAATTGTGGTTTTGGATGGGGCTTCATCACCAAATGCAGAAATCATCCGGTCAACGCACTGTTTTTGTGTTAAACCACTTCGAAAGTTATAATAAATCATCGCTCTTGAATTTTCTCGAGTCAATTCCATTTTCTCAACGACTAAACAAGTTTGACAAAACCTTGTGACAAGACCGAGAACCTTTTTTTAAATAAATAAATGGTATTCGATTTTTAAAACCAAGGACTTTTCAATTAAAAAGATTTTAATATGACAGAAACAGTGGAAATATTCCATTCTCGATACTTTTAGTGCAGCCTATGTAAGTTTGTATAAAAAGGGTTTGTATAATATTAAAGAATTTATGGATGCTAATAACCCCTGGAAATGAGGTGATCGCTACCAAGCTATTTCTAATTTGTTGTGTAGTTAATTTGTGTAACATCCATGATTGTAAGCTGTTATTTAAAAAACAGCCCCCCTGGGTTTCTTGCTGATACATCCCAGGACAGATATTTTTTTCGAACCATTGGTAATTAAACAAAAGAGTGACTTTCAATAAGTATTATTTATAATCTATATGGAATAAAAAAGTTTCTGTTTCTCTTTCTGATACACGAATTATCTTTCCCTAAAAACTAGGAGGTGCATTTTACACTATAGATGAAAACACTATTTTAAAATTTGACGTTGTCAAATGAATGAATATATTGGTTTTTTTTTTATAGAATAGGGTGACAAACGAGCACACAGTCCACCGGATGATAAGTGGTTGATGTGGCCCATAGACATCTACATCTATCCTCGTTTGCGAATCAAAATGCAGATGCGTTGTCACCCGTGAGGACTAAGATGGAATGCCTTTTTTCCAGCAAAAAGGGTCTCCGGTTCTCTACACTCACCATACGAAATACATCAGTGTTGAACTGCTATTTTACGCGGGTGTTCTGTGAGTGCGTGGTCCTTCCCCGATCGAGCCGACCCATTTGTGCTACAACTATACTACTATTACTATTGTGAGAGGTCAGAATCTGTCCAAAAAGGCACGTATGGTAATTCACAATGCTGTGTTAGTCCCTACTTTAATGTATGGTAGTGAAAGTTGGGTGTGGCTGAAGAAGCACGAGAGTAGAATAAATGCTGTAGAAATGCGGTCATTAAGGAGTATGTTAGGATTGAATCTGAATGACAGATTGAGAAATTGTGTGACAAGAGAAGAGTGTGGTTTGTAAGAAGATGTTGTGACCAGGATTAGGAAAGGAATGCTTCGGTGCTTTGGTCATGTAGAAAGAATGAAAGAGTAACAAAGCAAATTTATGTTGCAGAAGTGAACGGCAGAGTCGGGAAGGGACGCCCTAGGCGAAATTTTATCGACCAAATTGGCAATATATTATAAATGGGCCAAATATGCGTATGTATATGGATGTTGAGGAAGCGAGAGAGGTGTGTAACTGCCTACCCCTCTCGGTGACAGGCGTGAGTGTTTATGTTATATGTTCTATACTACTTATATAGCTGTAGCATGGCTCTACCTCGTAGAAAACGCCTTGTGCTAATCATTCGCTAAATCTATGTGGAGTGCACTCACGTAGGGAGCGTTAATTCAAGTTCAATTTTTTTTTAGAACAGTAGAAAGAGATTACAGGTTCTTTTCATCATCCACACGTCAATGGGAAACTTTAATAAAAAGTGTAGGCGTATCCGTCAAAAGACTCTCAGAGACAAGATGGATTTCTCATAATGACGCTGTTAAACAACTGCAGGATAATTTAATAAAAAGCTAGTATAAACACTCGAAGATATATATGATCCCAGCACCAACAGAGAAAACGTCGATACAAAGAATCAGTAGATATCTACACTAGTACCAGCTTTGTGTGACTTCAGTTTTTTATGCTATCTTTCTTTTTGGCGTAAAATCCTAAAAGAAGTTAATCAGACACAAAAGCAAATACTAAATAATATAATAATAATCTACATTGTCACTGGAAAAGTATGAGATAAAAATTAAAGCCCAAAAATTTTTCTTCAAAGCCAACGTATTCAACTAGTGGAAAAAGCTATTTCCTATGTAACAAAAATTTACAAATTTTTAAAAAGAAATAGAATTATTGGACAATATTATAAATATCTTCATTGCAATATTATATTATATTAATCAAACTATAAAAATCAAAAATAATTCCAATGTTATAATTAATAATTAATTAATTCGTTAATTCATAGAATGTGATGCTGTATACACTAATAATATCCTCAAACTATTGTATCATGGACACTCTATTAGAAAGAAATGCAACGCCTAACTCGGTGCCTTTCATTCATTTCAAGTTCACTGATTTAGGAACGTTTTTCTAGTATGAAGTGCGCACTCACTATATTTTACAATCTCCTTGCGACTGATGCACTGAAATACTTTGTATCCGTGATCATATATTAAAAAAAAATGTTTAAGACACCATGATATCATAGTTACCATGATACCATAGTAATCTGTCAGTTTGTCACAGTCATCAGTCACAGTAGTATATTATCTATGGTCACAGTTTGTCACTACTCACTATCACTAGATTTTCGATTGGCCGTCATTCTCTAAATGGTACGACGAATTTCATCCTTTTTGTCGTGAATTACTTCGCAGTAACATTATTTGTAATTATTCTAATTGTAAATCTAAATTCCAGTAAATGGGCAAATCTTGCAAATAAACCACTAATTGCAATATACAAATTCTCTATGTAGAACTGACACAGTTCACACTGACAATTGAAAATAAAACATTGGCCCACTGATTTGTGATGGAATCATACTTCAACTACACTGCAAGCGGAAAGGAATCTGCTGTAGAAGGATATAAATGATTTAGGTGAATTGTAAGTTTCTCTTGCTAGTGAAAAACAACAAATACATATTAGAACCAAGGATTAACAAGTTTTAAAGGCGCATGACGGTGTCATGAGCACAAACAACAAGAGGCGCGGAGCTAGCGGTGCCAGTTGTTTTGTACCTGGAGTGCCCGCCCTAGTAAACGTACCGACAGCCATGTCCGCCGATCTTGCCTCTTTATTTGAGTGCCCCGTTTGTTTCGACTATGTCCTTCCTCCGATTCTGCAGTGCCAGAGCGGGCACCTGGTGTGCTCGAGCTGTCGACCTAAACTATCGTGCTGTCCCACCTGTCGCGGACCTCTCGGTAATATACGCAACTTGGCAATGGAAAAAGTTGCCAGCAATGTTATGTTTCCATGTAAACACTCCAACACCGGCTGCACTGTCACACTTGTGCATACTGAGAAAGCAGAACACGAAGAAGCCTGCGAATTTAGACCTTACTCTTGCCCTTGTCCTGGTGCATCATGTAAATGGCAGGGAGGCCTAGATCAAGTGATGCAACATTTAATGACCTCACATAAAAGCATCACCACACTTCAAGGTGAAGACATAGTGTTCCTTGCAACAGATATAAATCTACCTGGTGCAGTGGACTGGGTTATGATGCAGTCATGTTTCAACCACCATTTTATGTTAGTGCTTGAGAAGCAAGAGAAGTTTGATGGACATCAACAGTTTTTTGCAATCGTTCAGTTAATAGGTTCCCGTAAAGAAGCTGAAAATTTTGCATATAGATTAGAGTTGAATGGTCATCGTAGAAGGCTCACTTGGGAGGCAATGCCACGTTCCATTCATGAAGGAGTGTCCTCCGCCATCATGAACTCTGATTGCCTTGTATTTGATACCTCCTTAGCGCAGTTGTTTGCTGACAATGGGAACCTTGGAATAAATGTCACAATCTCTATTGCCTAATCCACTTTGCCATGTAACTTAAGTCCGTTTAATTTTTTCATACCAAATGGGAGTTATTTCATTGATGAATCTCGAGAATAATATGAATATATATATTTATTGTGGAAATAGAGGGATATCATACTGGATTTTAAGAAAAATTTCATCAATTTAATATTATTATGGCATTAATTGTGACTTTGACATGTTTTATAATTAATATAATAATCACCATCAAAGTAAGCCAAAAAAAATCTTTTATTTCTTACATAACTATGATTCTATGTAAATGTGTGTTCATCTTTTAGGGTTAAGTAGAGAAAAAAAACAAGTGATAGCTTCGTTATGTCAAGCCTTGTAAACTTAATATTGAAGAGTTATGACCTCTCGCAAGAGTAAGTGATTACTATATTCCAAAATAAAATAGAACAAATAATCATTTGTATTAAAATTTAAACATTTGTATATATGCATGAGATGTTATGTTAGGGTATAAGGCATCTAATGCTGCTTGAAAGAATATACTTAGTGAGCAGGTACCTCCCTGAGTATTTGTAAAATCAGTAGCTGATTGACATTCACTTTAGCAGCAGTGAAATAATTAGCTCTAAATACAACTGACTAATATTGAATGTTAAATGTAAAGAACTGTATAGAAAGTGCTATGAATGAAATTCGCATGAATGCATTTAAGCTAAAATAGTTCGAAGATAAAGACAACTAATGTACAATTGAGTGAGCCATTTTGTTTTACAACACGCTTCAACTTACCATTTTTATTACCACTACTCGTTATGTGATTCCAGTTGTTAATTAAGGGTCTTTGCACAAATGGACACAGATGTATATTTTGATGTTGAGGAATTACGAGTAATATACGTAGTTTTTAATGCATTGCATTTCATTTGTAATAACAAAATGGTGACTATGAACTATGAAGACATATTGATAAATATTTAATTTGTAAAGTTGTGTAGCCTACATTTGTCCCGGGGCATAGGCCTCACATTTTTAAGAGGGTTATGTAGCAGTTTATTTGTGTTAAGATCCTTTTTATATTGGTTTTATTTATGCAAGAAATCTATGTTACTTAATATGTAGATTATAATTGCCTAATTATTACATCACTTAAACATGTCTCAGAGTAAACCATTGAGGCAATTTATTATTGAAAATTTTGTATATCTTAAGATAAAGCTAATTTACGACTTTTGGTTTTAATAAAAATTTTGTAATGTACATAAATGTGTTTCAGTTAGTTTAAAAGAAAAAAGATTCCGTACATTCTTTATTATTTAATAATAGTTATAAATTCTAATGAACTATGCATTTTCTTACATGTAAAAATTCAGAGATGTTTTATTTCATAATTAGCTATGACACACCAATGCACCAATTGGATAACATTTACAGTTCATTTATACTTCATTATGCTACTAGATCTGATTAGACTGGCCTTCAAAAATAAAGAAAATTCAAAAAGAATAAAACATATAATATAGGTAGCTTCTATTGATGCTAAGACATTAAAGCCCCAACTTTAAAAGCTATTATGTCAAAGATTAAAGTTTTTTTATAGAATGAGAGTGACCAACAAGCACATGGTCCACCTGATGGTAAGGGGATGCGCTGTAGCCCATAGACATCTACATTTATCATCAATTACAATTTAGAATCAACGGCAACGCTACGTCGGAGTAGTAGTATCCAACTATAATTCGGCTCATATGATTTCAAACAAACTCAGTTAACAGCTAAGCTGGTTTACTGCTCTGTGGCTGCAATGGTGATGGTAGAAGACATGCAGAAGTTGGTGAATCGTTATCATCTAATATGGAAGTTGGCTCCTTACGTGTAGGACTGAAAGGGTTTCTGCTTGTCTCACCAGTTAACACGGGGTTGATTGGATCTTGCCCCCTATGAACAACTTCAAACGCTTCTGAAACTTCATGTTTTGAATCAACCAAAGAAAACTCATCAAATGTCTCTAATACGGCACAGTATTCACCTCGAGGAGGTAACGGCGCGAAAGGGTCGAAAGCATCCTTCTTTATGCCATCTGGACTGAAAGGGTCCTTTGGTTCATATTTTGGGGCGTCCTCAGCCAGACTGTTATCTCCACTAAAATCTGAAAGATCAATGTCATAGTTAATATTGCTTAAGCCGGGTGCTATATTCTCCGCACCAAAATCCTCTGGTGTGTTCAGCTCATCGATAGATCTCGAGTCGAAAGGGGTGAAACCCAAAGGGGATGGTGTTAGTAGTTCCATTGAGTTTGTCTGCTTCAAATCCCATTTCTCGTCAAGATTGTGTGGGGATTTAGATGGAGAAGGTTTATCTGGGACTTGGAAATCTAGGATATCCTGCTGGTCTGTGCTTTGGACTTCTATTGTATTTAACACTGGTATCTCTTGCTCGTTTTCCGCTTGGCTCATTTGATTTGGAGCGATTTGTTGATGAGAAGTTGGTACTTCTTGAGGCACTGTGTCTGCAGCTGGTGTTTCCAAATCTATTAGGGGTGCAGTGATGATATTTTTAAATTTCCCAATCTGAGGTAGCTCGCGCCTTGGTTTGATTTCTAATGGTGTCTTAGCAAGCACGTCTTTGACTTTCTTGGCTATTTGTTCCTGTAAATAAAACATTTAGAACATTATTTTGATTTCTAAGAAGGACCTCTGAACCATTTTGACTTGGGAAATCCTTATTAATACCCGGCCGCTGCAAGGGAAACAAGCTAATATATCAGTCAATAGTACCCCGCGAAAGCTACTTTCAGATTTAACTAGAGTTCAAACCTTACTTAATAAAGTATCGGATATAGGCTTTTTGTAGAACACGCCAACTCACATACGGATTACTCATGGATTAGAAATCTTGGGCTCAAAAATACTTAGTTCGATAAATATTAAATAATCGTAAAAGTTATGTCAAATAATCGAACTAAGGCAAGGTTACTTCAAAAATGAATATCTTTTTTCTTTTTTTTTTAAAAATATCGACGCTGTAAAGACAATAATTACCAAGCGATATATTGCCAACTTGACACTAGAACATTTTAGTTTTTCTTTTTTGGAAAAAATCGTAATAGTCGTCTATTAGTCATAACTACTAGATTCCAACGAAAAATTAAAAATTAGGTGCTCTAAAATTTTCACCGTGTTGCTAGCAACACGTACAACTAGCAACGCAGTGACGATAATAGATATACGATAAATATTAATTGCAAGGAATTAAGAGCTAATTAGGTGCTGCAAGTATATAGGCAATGACAACGCGCCCCTAATAAAAATTAAGTTGTTCTTATTCAGAACAAAGCAGATGTAAAAATCAGAATAGTATCAAAATTGCTTTTAGTAAAAGCCCAAATTAGGGGCTTTTTATAATGATACGAATATTACAAAAAAATCTCGTGGAAAGTGGATAGCTGATCTTATAAAGAATTTGGGTTGTCGTTGAATATTTAAGATAGCTTAAATCAACTGTTAGTAATAATAAACTAAAATAATTACTATTATACTAATACTATTACTAAAATAAGTAATTTGAAAATCAGTATAGGTAGGTAGGTAAAACACAATTTCAACTAAGAAGAAAATCGCTATCAAATTTTTAAAATATTACAAATACTTTTCACAATCGAAACCTCACGAGTGAAAATGTTTTGGTAAACTATCAATTAAACAACACAATTAAGATCAATTCCTATTAAAAATTTACTTCTTTATTTTTTTTTTATTTTTTTTTAATAATAAAGCTTTTATATGATGGATTTCCGCAAAGTAACGCCTGATTCTATTAATTAGATATTTTGTTACCAACAGCCACACAAAATTTGATTTACAGTGCGTACAAGCGACAAAACAAAATACATGCAACAGTGGTAAGCTCTTTTTTATACAAACTTCAGAAGTTAACTATCTAAGTAACAAAACCAGAAAAAAAAACAGGAGGTAAAATATTACCAAACTACAAAATATGTCCTTTTTAGACAGGAAAAATAATACTACGTTACGTCTTTAAGTCCATTGCATTTAGGAAAAAAATTACTAAATGAAAATGTGTACATAATTACAAAATAGGTGCGCGCGTTGTGTGCGAGTGTATGCTTGGTACCTCGAAGGTGCACGCTGTATGCGAGTGTATGCTTGGTACCTAGAAGGCACGCGTTTTGTGCGAGTGTATGCTTGGTACCCCAAAGGTGCGCGTTGTGTGAGAGTGTATGCTTGGTACCTCGAAGGTGCGCGTTTTGTGCGAGTGTATGCTTGGTACCTCGAAGGAGCGCGTTGTGTGAGAGTGTATGCTTGGTACCTCGAAAGTGCGCGTTGTGTGAGTGTATGCTTGGTACCTCGAAGGTGCGCGTTGTTGTGTGGGAGTGTATGCTTGGTACCTCGAAGTTGCACGCTGTATGCGAGTGTATGCTTGGTACCTCAAAGGTGCGCGTTGTGTGAGAGTGCATGCTTGGTACCTCGAAGGCACGCGTTTTGTGCGAGTGTATGCTTGGTACCTCGAAGGAGCGCGTTGTGTGAGAGTGTATGCTTGGTACCTCGAAGGTGCGCGTTGTGTGAGTGTATGCTTGGCACCTCGAAGGTGTGCGTTGTTGTGTGGGAGTGTATGCTTGGTACCTCGAAGTTGCACGCTGTATGCGAGTGTATGCTTGGTACCTCAAAGGTGCGCGTTGTGTGAGAGTGCATGCTTGGTACCTCGTGGTTGCGCATTATGTGCGAGTGTATGCTCGGTACCTCGAAGGTGCGCGTTGTGTGAGAGTGTGATTTTTACCTCGAAAATGCGCCTTCTGTGCGAGTGTACGCTTGGTACCTTGTTAGTGCGCGTTGTGTACGAGTGTATGCTTGGTACTTTGAAGGTGCGCGTTGTGTGCGAGTGTATGCTTGGTGCCTTGAAGTAGCGCGTTGTGTGCGAGTGAATGCTTGGTACCTCGAAGGTGCGCGTTGTTTGCGATTGTATGCTCGGTACCTCGAAGGTGCGTTGTGTGTGTGTATGCTGGGTACCTCGAAGGTGCGCGTTGTGTGCGAGTGTGATTGGTAACTCGAAAGTGCGCGCTGTGTGCGAGTGTATGCTTGGTGCCTTGAAGTTGCGCGTTGTATGCGAGTGAATGCTTGGTACCTTAAAGGTGCGCGTTGTCTACGAGTGTATGCTAGGTACTTTGAAGGGGCGCGTTGTGTGCGAGTGTATGCTTGGTACCTCGAAGGCACGCGTTTTGTGCGAGTGTATGCTTGGTACCTCGAAGGAGCGCGTTGTGAGAGAGTGTATGCTTGGTACCTCGAAGGTGCGCGTTGTGTGAGTGTATGCTTGGTACCTCGAAGGAGCGCGTTGTTGTGTGGGAGTGTTTGCTTGGTACCTCGAAGTTGCACGCTGTATGCGAGTGTATGCTTGGTACCTCAAAGGTGCGCGTTGTGTGAGAGTGCATGCTTGGTACCTCGAAGGAGCGCGTTTTGTGCGAGTGTATACTTGGTACCTCGAAGGTGCGCGTTGTGTGAGAGTGTATGCTTGGTACCTCGAAGGAGCGCGTTGTGTGAGAGTGTATGCTTGGTACCTCGAAGGTGCGCGTTGTGTGAGTGTATGCTTGGCACCTCGAAGGTGCGCGTTGTGTGAGTGTATGCTTGGCACCTCGAAGGTGCGCGTTGTTGTGTGGGAGTGTATGCTTGGTACCTCGAAGTTGCACGCTGTATGCGAGTGTATGCTTGGTACCTCAAAGGTGCGCGTTGTGTGAGAGTGCATGCTTGGTACCTCGTGGTTGCGCATTATGTGCGAGTGTATGCTCGGTACCTCGAAGGTGCGCGTTATGTGAGAGTGTGATTTTTACCTCGAAAATGCGCCTTCTGTGCGAGTGTACGCTTGGTACCTTGTTAGTGCGCGTTGTGTACGAGTGTATGCTTGGTACTTTGAAAGTGCGCGGTGTGCGAGTGTATGCTTGGTGCCTTGAAGTAGCGCGTTGTGTGCGAGTAAATGCTTGGTACCTCGAAGGTGCGCGTTGTTTGCGATTGTATGCTCGGTACCTCGAAGGTGCGTTGTGTGTGTGTATGCTGGGTACCTCGAAGGTGCGCGTTGTGTGCGAGTGTGATTGGTAACTCGAAAGTGCGCGCTGTGTGCGAGTGTATGCTTGGTGCCTTGAAGTTGCGCGTTGTATGCGAGTGAATGCTTGGTACCTTAAAGGTGCGCGTTGTCTACGAGTGTATGCTAGGTACTTTGAAGGTGCGCTTTGTGTGCGAGTGTATACTTGGTACCTCGAAGGTGCACGCTGTATGCGAGTGTATGCTTGGTACCTCGAAAGCACGCGTTTTGTGCGAGTGTATGCTTGGTATCTCAAAGGTGCGCGTTGAGTGAGAGTGTATGCTTGGTACCTCGAAGGTGCGCGTTTTATGCGAGTGTATGCTTGGTACCTCGAAGGTGCGCGTTGTGTGAGAGTGTATGCTTCGTACCTCGAAGGTGCGAGTTTTGTGCGAGTGAATGCTTGGTACCTCAAAGGTGCGCGCGTTTTCTTCAAGCGCGTTCGCTCCATCACACAGGCTGCTTACTTCCTTGCGCATGCGCTCCGTCTCCTCGCGAAGCTCCTCTACTTCACGCACTACGCCACACAGTGACAACGCCGCCGCCTATATTAAGTTTTTTTTTATACGTGGTAGAAACATGCTGCAACTATATTAGTTTTAGAACGAATAGGTCGATTGAATAAAACTACTTTTACGGATTTTATGGCGTTTAATTGTTGTTATTTTTAATTCTCTTCGTTTGGCTCATTTTGTCAGTTGAGATAAAAGACCATCTATCTATGTCTTACTGACAAAGAAACCATGGTCAGTTTTGATGTTCAGTCTCTATTTACATGCCTACTTGTTGAAGACTGCATCTCAATTGTTACTAGGAAACTAGAGGAAAACAATATGCCAGCAGAATATGCAGTATTATTGAGACGTTGCCTTACATCTGGCTATCTATTGTGGAAGGAAGAGTTTTACAAGCAAGTAGATGGGTGTTGCGATGGGCTCACCGGTATCTCCCATTGTCGCCGATACATTCATGGGGGACTTTGAGGAGAAATCCCTCCTTACTGCACCTGTAACTCCAAGGTTTCTACAAGTGGTGCGTAGACGATACTTTCACAATTTTATCATCAGACAAAGTAACTGCATTTTTAGAAAATCTTAATTCCATAAACTAAAATTCAATTTACTATGGAATTAGAGGCAATTAATTCTTTAGCTTTCCTAGATGTGTTTAGTCATCCGAAATCTTAATAACACCGTAGGTCACACTGTGTATAGAAAAAAGACCCATACGAACCATTATGTAAACGGTGAATCTCACCATCCTGCTTTACAGTTAGCTACCGTTGGCAAATATTTGTTACAGAGAGCACGAGGTATCTGTGATAGCAAACACTTGGCCGCCGAGCTTCAGCAAGTCAAGCAGGTTCTGCACGACAGTAAGCTTCGCGTCCCGCACCTACGTCACAGTGACCGAGTCAAGCCTATTGAAATTAAAAAAACATCCTAATCTCAATACAGAGGGAGGCTCGGTACTATCACCTGTTCGAGATCCTGTAATTAATAAAATTAAAACTAAACCCAAGCATACCACTGCAAGACTTCAAGACACAGTCAGTTCATTTTGCGTAGATCGGACCAAAACTAATAATTAAAAAGCTGAAGGTACTCCAGGTTAACTCTGACATCGGGACATCAATCACCTCAGTCCCCCGTGATCATGGGCGCTGGAGAGCACCCGAAACGTCGGGAATTAAAAATAAGAACAATTAAATGCGGTAAAATCCGTAAAAGTAGTTTTATTCAATGTATAGTGTTCGCGTAATGTAAGAAATCGTATTCCGCCGGGGTAGGACCGCGCTCTCACGAAATACCAGCGTGAAATATTAACTTAAAGCTACTGTGTTTCGTATGGTGACTGTAGAGAAATGGAGACCACTTTTAATGGAAATTAGGCATTCCATCTTAGTCCTTAGGAGTGACAATACATCTGCTTTTTGATTGTTAATCAAAATAGATGTAGATGTCATGGCCCACAGCATCCAGTTACCATCAGGTGGACTGTGTGCTCATATGGCACCCTTTTTCTATAAAAAATATATATGCGGACACGCCTGTTACGGACACTCTTGTATAAATTGATACGCTTACTGATATTACGACTATTGCAGACACTCATTTTGAGGTCACGACTGTTGTGGAGACGCTTGTTGCGAGCACACCTGTTGCAGACAAGTCTGTTGCGGACACGCCTGCAACCGTCACACCTGTTGCAGACGATATAGCAGTAGTACTTACGCAATGTACTGCCCACATTGCGCAAGTACTACCGCCATGCATCAAATTGTATCATGTAATATATGCGCAGGAGTTATTGACTATTTTTGAATGCTAGGGGCCAGAATTAATTATAAATGTTGGCGTGCTCATCATCTTATAACCTAGCTGATAAAACAAAGTACACAAATTAGTCGCGTGATCTTAAATCGTATCAACATCTATAGTAGCATACAAATTTGGTTGTGTTAAGTGTTATTTCATGAAGAAACGACGAAGAAGTCCTTACCCAGGCACTGCCACCAATTGAAGCCGGCATAGCCATGTAGCAGTCGAACTCTTTCTTCTCCATGTTGAGCGACTCCGCTGTCAGGTTCTCGATGAACGACACCGCGCAGCACTGAATAAGTTAGAGCGTTTATAAGAAACACTGATAGCACGCGGTCTCATGCAAATTAGATACCATAAAATCAACAAATATATCTGCAAACTGAAACTGAAATCCCTGGAATTAAAGCAATATGAGAAAAACAAATTATTTGATGATGTATGAATTTTATCACTTTCAATTTTAACTCATTTTTGAATCTGTTGTAGTTTTTTTTTTATGTGAAATGTATGTTGTTGTAAAAATCTCTACTTCTATTAGTGATCAGAGTAAATGGACTTAAAAAAACACGTTCAAGAAGAACTTCACGATATTTTCTCAAAACTCGTTTTAAAGAAACTGCCACGTCATATAAATTGCTCAATCATATTCCCTTCCTTAGGTATGCAAATTACAGACTAAAGAGAAGTTAACTCGTTGTTTCTTCTCCATACAGAGGATTGTATGAAGTTTAAAAAAATATATTGACAAAAAATATAGGTTTCACAAACAAAATTTTATTTTCTTACAAGGAAAAATTCATCAAATTATTCATTCACTCACCAAGTTAGTGAAGTAGTAACCGCCCTCGCCTGTCATGAGACGCTGAGCGTTGCAGAACCGCGTTACGAAGTTAATGTTGCTCACGAGTCGTGGCGGGTTCGCTTTCAAGACCTGCATATTAAAAATTTCATAAATTAATTAAATGCTAAGAGAACGTTTCCCCTTCTTTGTGTTTTGTGTTAATACCTTATTACTACCATACTACTTACTACCTTATGGCTAAATTTAAGTAGTATAATACTGCACCAAGCAGACATGTCACTATGAACCATATTAAGCTGTTACAATCTATTGATTGTAATATCTATAGATAAATTGCTCATGTACCTAAATCCATATTCCGTGCGGAATTTCAACCCTCAGTTTTAAAGCGCCGCAGCCAAATCCTTAGCTACCGCGCTACCGTCGCGGCATTATAACCCACATTATAGTACACGATATATAGATAACACCGTGCAGTATCCTGTACACAGTGCAGCACACAGTGTAGTGCACAATGCACCAGCACGTGCCGGCAGCAGCGCCGCACACAGTACACTGTACACAGTACACAAGACAGTGCAGCACAGAGTAGTGTGTGCTCACAGTGAAGATGAGGCAGGGCAGCAGCTCGTCGGCGGAGGCGGGCGCGCCGCACAGCGCCAGCACGTGCCGGCAGCAGCGCCGCACATAGTACACTGTACACAAGACAGTGCAGCACAGAGTAGTGTGTGCTCACAGTGAAGATGAGGCAGGGCAGCAGCTCGTCGGCGGAGGCGGGCGCGCCGCACAGCGCCAGCACGTGCCGGCAGCAGCGCCGCACATAGTACACTGTACACAAGACAGTGCAGCACAGAGTAGTGTGTGCTCACAGTGAAGATGAGGCAGGGCAGCAGCTCGTCGGCGGAGGCGGGCGCGCCGCACAGCGCCAGCACGTGCCGGCAGCAGCGCCGCACATAGTACACTGTACACAAGACAGTGCAGCACAGAGTAGTGTGTGCTCACAGTGAAGATGAGGCAGGGCAGCAGCTCGTCGGCGGAGGCGGGCGCGCCGCACAGCGCCAGCACGTGCCGGCAGCAGCGCCGCACATAGTACACTGTACACAAGACAGTGCAGCACAGAGTAGTGTGTGCTCACAGTGAAGATGAGGCAGGGCAGCAGCTCGTCGGCGGAGGCGGGCGCGCCGCACAGCGCCAGCACGTGCCGGCAGCAGCGCCGCACGCGCGCCAGCTTGCCGCCAGGCGCTGCACACCCATCCATGCCCAGCAGCTCTGCGAACCGCCACAATTCTAATACTATTTTTTTTAAATAAGGGTGACAATCGTGCGCCCAGTCCACCTTATGTTAAGTGGATGTTATGACTCACAGAGATCTACATTATCCCTAGATTAAGAATCAAAATGAAGATGTGTTGTCACCCCTGAGGACAAAGATGGAATGGCTCGTTTCCAGTAAAAAAGGGTGTCCGGTTCTCTACACCGTACATACGAAACACTGCAGCACTACAATTAAACTGCTATTTTACCCCGGTTCTTTACACTCACCATACGAAACACAGCAGGATTAAGCTGCAATTATACCCCGGTCGAGCCAGGTGGACCCATTTTTGCTACAACGTTAATATAACTGCAGCGTGACTCTACCATGTATACGCTATATACTAACGTAATTACGAACTCTCTTACAGAGCAAGTGGGGAAACGGACGACATTTAAGTGTGTGTAGGGATTATTTTTCTCACTTCAATGGACATCCACGATAGACAACAGGGTAGCAGCACTTAGGGATGACGTGAAATATTTGACAGATTTCATAGCGCGGGAAGTATATTTGATAGAAAAATGTAGAGATTAATGTTTTGTTTTCTGAAATATTAGTAACCTGACTTCATAGATTCAATAATTTCACTCATGGGACAATGTACTAACGAACATTGGAACAATTAGATTGGGTTAATTGACAACTTCAAACTCCCAACATTAAATTTCATGTCACTGTCGGTAACACGCCGCCATTTCAAGATAATTATTTTATCTAATTTAAGAAAAATTGAGTATTGTGGTCACAGCATAACAATAATAACATATTCGATCATAGATTTATTATAAACTATCGTTAGAATAGATTGGCAATGCAAAAGAGAAAAAGCATGTTGTGTGCGTGTGTTAGAGCGAGAAAGATAGGCGAGACCATTCAAGTATATGCTACCGGCCTGTATCGGACTGGCGTCATTCGTGGACAAAACAAATGCCATTGCAAATTTGCAAAATCGCAGATTTTAAAGTGAAAGTTAGCGTTTAATAGACATAATTAATTATGATTAAATGTTTAGTACCTAAATATAAGAAGAAAAAAAATAAAGAAAATCCTCATTATTATACATTTACCTACCGGGTATGATTGAAATTTTAGCTGTCTAAATGCTGTTTTTAAAGCAGGTACGAAAATTCGTACACAAATAGATGGGAAAAAATATCACATCTATACAAATAAATAAAATTGAAGTGTCTGTTTGTAATGTCAAAATTGCGGCTTTTTACTAAATGCATTTGAAAGTATAAACGGTACTTATAACAAAAATACTTTTTAAAATTTTTGTCTGTCTGTCTGTTTGTTCCGGCTAATCTCCGAAACGGCAGGACCGATTTTGACGGGACTTTCACTGTCGGATAGTTGATATCATAAGAAATAACATAGGCTACTTTTATTTTAGAAAAAAAAATTAAGGTTCCTCGCAAAAAAATTAAAACTCTAAATTACACGCGGGCGAAGTCTCGGGGATCAGCCGCCGGAACAAATAGATAGACAGACAGACAGACCGACAGACAGACAAAAATTTAAAAAAATTGTGTTTTTGTTTTAAGTATCGTATATACTTTATATACGATACTTAAAACAAAAACACAATTTTATAACAAATATGCATTCAGTAAAAAGCTGTAATTTTGACATTACAAACAGACACTTCAATTTTATTTATTTGTATAGATGTATAGATACGTGAAATCGAGTTTATTCTAACCTCACTTTTGGCAATTTCGATAACATCTTATTGATATGTCCCTAACTGGCAAAGATATGCCTTGCATACAGCCTTAACCAACTTCGTAATATTTTTTTAGGGTTTCCTAGATAATATTGTTTTATTGTATAAAAAAAATATTTAATAGAATTACGGTGACAAACGAGTACACAGTCTACCTGATGGTAAGTTGATGTTGTGGCAGATTTTCAAAAAATATTGATGGTTGAAAACAATAAATGAGAAGAATAGGTTCCCAAAAGAAAATATGAGGTCTTTAGCTGTGAAATAGCCGTTTTTTTATTAAATAAGTTAACGTATTTTTTTTTCTCTATTTGTAAGGGTCACAAGGAACTTAATAAAGAGACCGTGAACTGTTAACAACGTATATTGGCTGATGTTTGCAATCAATTTCGTATCGTTTATCACCGGTGGGTTTCTAAGCGCGAATGGCGGCGAGCTGGCGAGACTGGTGTACTGAGAGTTGGCGTACTTCCCCGTTGCCCCCACCGTACCGCCACCGTAGTCGTTGCGTTTGTTCTCCAACAATATTTTTTATTTCTATTAATCAAAGTAATCACCCATGCAATCGATGCATCTTTGCCAACGCAGTGGCAGTTTATTGATGCCCGTCTTGCAGAAATCATCTGGAGAAGAGGCAACAAATTCTTCAATGCCATATGATGATGAAATGCCATATGAGGTCGCACGTTATCGCGCAAAAACGGCGGAGACGAGCGCTTGACCAAAGCTGGTTGGAGACGTGCGAGCTTCTTCCACCATTGTGTTCAGTCCTTCACAGTGCACATTTGCAGTAATGCTCATCCCGTTTGGTAAGAACCTGTAATGAATCACACCGGCGCTAGACCACTAAACAGTGACCATCACTTTTCTAGGGGTAAGTTTTCGTTTAGGGCATTGTTTAGGTGATAAACCGGGCTCCTACCACAACAGCTCTTACGTCGTCCAAAATTGCTAAGCTTCTCCGGTGAGGTCCTTAATAATCGCAGATGTCGTAGGTCGAATTCTCGTAGTCGCTCCCCGGAGTAGAGTTCACTTTCGCGTTCCCGAAATAACTAACTCTCCGATCACCGGGATACACGTTTTTATACTCGATAAAAATATATAGAACTTTCTAGACCAATCCAGGGAGTTTAACTTTTTCCACCGGAAAGTACTAGAACACTGGCGATAACAATCGATAACAATATCCAAAGGAGAAAAGGCTTTATAAGCGTAGACTTAAAGTTGCATTTTGCTTGCATTAATAGTCCTCCAAGCGTTATCTATTTTTATGCCACTGGCCCTTATCGTCGGGAACATTCTCGTGTATGTGACGCAATAAACAACTAGCTGACCTTACAATATTTTATTTTTTAATTTAACATTTTGTTAATTTAACAAATTGAAATGTACATACATACATGCATAAACACTCACGCCTGTCACCCAGAGGGGTAGGCAGAGACTATGGATTTCCATTTGCCACGATCCTGACACACCTCTCTCGCTTCCTCCACATCCATATACCTACGCATACACGCTCGTCGGTTAAAGGTACTCTTGATTTGGCCCATTTTCAATATATCGCCAATTTGGTCGATAAATTTTCGCCTAGGGCATCCCTTCCCGACTCTGCCGTTCACCTCTGCAACATAAATTTGCTTTGTCACTCTTTCCTCATTCATTCTTTCTACATGACCACCGAAGCATTCCTTTCTTAATCCTGGTCACACCGTCATCTTGCAAACCACACTCTTCTCTTATCACGCAATTTCTCACTCTGTCATTCAGATTTATCCCTAACATACTCTTTAATGACCGCATTTCTAAAGCATTTATTCTACTCTCGTGCTTCTTCTGCCACACCCAACTTTCTGAAAAGAATAATTATAACAATCTGAAAAAAAATAATAAACTGCAAATATCGACCATTTGAAGAATAAACGTTTAATGTCTCATTATCCTAGATAAAATATAGCGCTATCATTTTGATTAGTTTTTGAAGCAATCGAAAACTAATTAAAATATGATCCTTCGAGCCGGATATAAACGAACCATCTGTATTCAAACCATAAAGTATTAATGGATATTATTACTTTATGGATAGAAATTAATGGCCATATTGTGCAAGAGAGAAGAAAATTATTTATGTCAATATAGCAAGATAGAAAAGAATAGCGAATCTCTTAACTCTGTGACTAATTTTGAATAACAGTGCGGCAGAAGACGGCACCCAAGGAGTGAGCTCCCAGGTATTTTGGATTATTTTATAATTTGCATGATTTTTGGTGAATACCTTTTTTATCAAAATATTTTACATGTAGGTACGCTAGGAATTGACTCAACTATAACGAAATTAATGTCGATATTTATCTTCAACGTTTATAGTTACTCGCAGCACAAACAAAAAGAAGAGGAATTAAAATAATAATAAATGCTCAATTTGCGTTGTAAAGAACAACTTTATTTTGATTTTTACTTTTTATATTAAACTTAATAATTTAAGTAAAGAAATTTATAGAAACCAGTTAAATAAGATTGTTCTCTTTAAAGTCCAGAAAGTAATTGTAATTAATTTGTTTAAAAATAATTTTGAAATGTTTGCTGGTGAAATAAAAACGGAGACACGGAGTAGATAATGACTGGTTTTTTTTATACAAGTATCTACCTGTTTATATTTTATTAACATTATATTAAAAAGAAATTCCCGGGAATTCTGTCTGTGTTGTTCTAAATAAAACGAATGCGAGCGGACGTTGTCTACCGGCCGTTTGGATTACAATAAACTCAATGTTTTATTGGTGCTCCCTGAAAGTACATACACGTGTGGACAATGCACAGTTCATGACAGTAAACATTTTTCTCCAAGGGCCATGGCTCGAAAATACAACTTTCTAATCCATTTCTTGGAGAAAATTAATGACTCCTTTACGCGAGCACTAGACATTAAATGAAACTAATTGTACGGATTTTATCGCTTTTCATTTTGACTTTTTAATTCCCGGCATTTCAGGTGCTTTACAGCACCCGTGGTCTTGTGCTTGGGTTTGCATTTAATTTTATTAATTATTATAGGATTCCAAGCAGATGGTAGCACCCATCCATCTTCTCCATTAAAATTAGGATGTTTTTTTAATTTCAATAACTTCGCCCTTCGTATCATCCTTAGTAGGAATCGATGTTGTTTTACGAGGATATGTGGTCTATTTTGATGGATCTAATTCTACATATTATATATCTAATGTAGACTGCAGACTTCCTGGAGCGTCCGTGCTTCATGTAAGCTATATGTTATTTTACGCGGGTTTTTATAGATCTTTTATTTTTCCTATGTAAAAGAGACCACATTCACAATCCAGCTTGTACACTTCTGCATCTTGAAGAGGGATATTGCACTTCACGGATGGTAACAATTGACAAATCTTCTTCAGCGGCTTATAGTAGGTTTTAATGGAAGCTCGCTTCAAGATGTAGCCAATTTTCCTCCTCTGACGTGTGGCAGTACAGCAGGCACACAACTGTGGCCGGCTACACTTGGTCACTGTGACGTAGGCCCGAGATCCGAAGCTTGTTGTCTTGCAATACTTGCTTGACGTATTAACGCTCGGCGGCTAGATGTATTCTATGACAGATCACTTGTGATCTCTGAAACAAAGATTATCCGACGGTAGCTAACTGTGATCGATGGTGGTGATATTCACCATTTAAATGCCGGTTGGTATGGGTTTTAACGGATTAGTAAGCTGAAGTGGCAATGGGTCGGCCATATAGCTCGAAGAACTGACAACAGATAGGGAAGAAAGGTTCTCGAGTGGCAGCCTCGTACCGGCAGGCGAAGTGTAGGGCATCCCCCCACTAGACGGAGTGACCTGGTAAGATATGCAGGAAGTTGATGGATGCAGGTGGCTCAGGACCGTGCTTTGTGGCATTCTTTAGGGGAGGCCTATGTTCAGCAGTGGACTTGTGAAGGGCTGTAATGATGATGATGATGATGATGGTATGGGTCTTTTTCCTATAACAGTGTGACCAATCAGGATTTCGGATGAATAAATATCTAGGAAAGATAAAGAATTATTTGCCTCTAACTCCATTATGAATTGTATTTTAGTGTTTACAGAGTTAAGGTGGTCTAAAAATGCAGTTACTTTGTCTGATGGTAAAATCGTGTAAGTGTCGAACCGCTTGTAGAATGAAGATAGCCGGTTTAACTATGACATCGGGATATCAAACACCTCAGTCCACCCCCGTGACCATGGGTGCCGTAAAGCACCCGAAACAACGGTAATTAAAAAGTCAATATTAAATGCGATAAAATCTGTAAAATTAGTTAATTTTATAGGTAAACTCACCTCTCCAGAGATTATTGGGATTTTTATGCAGGAATAAATAAAAAAATATATAATTATTTATTTTGGAACTATCATGTCATTCAATTTCATGTTAAACTAATTTTGTTGAACCTTTTTATATTTCCCTTAACACTTCCAATTGCAGTGTTATACTGAAATAATTTATCGAAAGTCCTTATAGGTAAAATATACATCACTAGTTAACGCACACAGTGACAAATTTGTCACGTGTTTTTAGGCTGTCAGGTCGTCTATACGCCAGTATCACAGTCTATAAATCCATACAGTCGTCCGACGAAGACGTCTAGACAGGGCAATCGTGCGGGGTGTGAGGGGTGAGACGCGGGAACGACGAGCCCGAGCTTCTTATGCCAATCGTATTAGTAGCTCGGGACACGACTTCCAGGGTTAACGCGCGTTTGCTTTAATAATTTTTAAATTTAGTGTTGCTACTTATAATTAAAATGGTTCATACGACGTGTGGTGTGAGAGATTGCAAGTCGTCATCTTGCATAAATAAAGATCTGCGATTTCATCAAATCCCGCAGACGGAAGAAAGGTAAATAAATATTGTTATTATTTTTTACATTATGTATATTTTGTCATGTCATGCCAAATTGCCAACGTAAAAAAAATGGCGGACGTAAGTAATAGGTACTACTCGCTGGGCATTACTGTTTCGAAGTTTGATTTTTTTCTTCATCTAAATCGTGTGGTTGGACAGGCTAAGGTTTTAGATCATACTATAGTGGTTCGTCTTCGGTTTTTTGGAAGTTTTTTTATAAAATATTAAGATTTAGGGGTCAATTTTTTGGTATGTCGGGATGGTAATTACGAAAATAGCATTTATTTTAAATCCAAGATGGCGGTCATTTTTTAATATATGTATGATATGGATGTCAATTTCAAGGTTTATTGGGGTGATGATTACGAAAACGGCATCCATTTTCATATCCAAGATGGCGGACATTTTTTTAATAATATGATATGAGTATCAATTTCGAGGTTTCTTGTGGTGCTGATTGTTATGGATGTCAATTTCCAGGTTTCTTGGGGTGCCAATTACGAAAACGGCATCAATTTTCATATCCAATATGGTGGATTTTTTTAAAATAATACAATATGGATGTCAATTTTAAGGTTTCTGGGGGTGATAATTATGAAAATTTATTAATAAGTAATTAATGTATTTAAAAATTTCAGATGCAAATTATGGATGAAAGTTATTGGAAGACCTGATTTAGTTGGAAGAACTTTCGAAAGCCTAAAGAATCAATTATAAAATAAACTAATAATTCGATGTCTGTAGTCATTGTAACTTTAATAATAATATGGATATGATGTTTAGCTAAGAGTTAAGAACGATTTTATGTAACAAAATTGAGGTATGGCCACATATCGAGAATAGAGCACTCCCTCACGTTGTGAGGCGTGCAATTAACGTTTTGAGTACTTTCAGGAAAAATCTAAGAACAAATTGTTACTTATTTTTTATATTAATAATTATACTGTTGATGACGATGTAGATCTAAAATAAATAATTAAATTAGTAAAAGTTGTTAATTTGTGACAACCCTAACCTCCTTACGCTGTCTAGACGTTGTCGGCATTTACCACGAGATCAAAGGCGTCGTCCTACTGTATGTTTATTATACTGTGCCAGTATATTCTAAGTCAATGGTTCAAACGGTCCGATCATTATTTACGATAAAAAAAAGTACAGTCCTTTTGTAAAGTCAATTGAAAACTGTAGAAACGTAATAAATAAAATCCATAGCTTTAAACTGAGTTAAACATACACTCACAAACACACACGTAAGCACTCTAAGTCAAAATCAAAGTGGACTCACCACTGATAGCTTTATAAAGCAGCTGCCTGCAGTTAGGGTCATTCCTGTCCAGATTGCACTCAAGATGTTTCTCGCCCACCCAGCTAAGCTGCTGAATTCGTTCCGACATCGTCCTGTCCGCTCGTTCGTCGTCCGTACCAGCTGGAGAGAACACAACACCTGGTAACCTATTGAAATGAATAGTTTTCATTATTGAATTTCTTCAAGCAATAAAATCTATTTAAGGTCAAAGATATGGCTTTGTATCCAAGAGAGAATAATCAATGAAATGTGAACAAAAATTTTGTATTTGGTTTAATTCAATAATACTTATATGAAAAGCAGCCTACATACATACATACCACTGCTGGAAACATGGATTTAGAACATACTGGCGTATAGACCGACATAGTGTGCAAGGGAGAAGAAAATGCAACATAGAAAAGGATGTCAAATCTCATGACTCTGTAACCGATTTTGAATGACAGGTCGGCACAAGTCGGCACGCAAGAAATAAGCTTATAGATATTTTGTAATTATAAAGTGTAATAGTAGTTATTTTTAGTAAGTAATATTATTCCAAAATGGTTACTTGTTCTGTGAGTGACTGTGGTGTTAATAATCCTGATAATTGCACATGTAACAGGTAAATTCTCATCATCATCATCATCATTACAGCCCTTCACAAGTCCACTGCTGAACATAGGCCTCCCCCAAAGAATGCCACAAAGCACGGTCCTGAGCCACCTGCATCCATCGACTTCCTGCATGTCTTACCAGGTCGTCACTCCATCTCGTGGGGGGACGCCCTACACTTCGCCTACCGGTGCGAGGCTGCCACTCGAGAACCTTTCTTCCCCATCGGTTGTCGGTTCTTCGAGCTATATGGCCGGCCCACTGCCACTTCAGCTTACTAATCCGTTGGGCTATGTCGGTTACTCTGGTTCTACTGCTGATATCCTCATTCCTAAGTTTATCACGCAGAGAAACTCCGAGCATAGCCCTCTCCATAGCTCGCTGAGCGACCTTGAGCTTCCTCATACGGCCAGCAGTGAAGGACCACGTCTCAGTTCCATAAGTCATTACTGGCAACACGCACTGGTTGTACAATTTCGTTTTCAGGTTTTGAGGTATGTCTGACGAGAAGATGTGTCGTAGCTTCCCGAACGCTGCCCAGCCGAGTTGAATCCGTCGATTGACCTCTCGGTCGAAGTTGGACTTACCTAGTCGGACTATTTGTCCCAGGTAAACATACTCGTCAACAACTTCGAGCTTAGTGTTCCCAACAACTACCGGCATAGGTGTGACATGGACATTAGACATGATCTTTGTTTTGTCCATGTTCATCTTAAGACCTATCCTTTGGGAAACACTATCGAGGTCATTGAGCATAGTGCTTAAGTCCTCCAGCGATTCTGCCATAAGGACTATATCGTCGGCAAATCGAAGGTGAGTGATGTACTCGCCATTGATGTTGATACCGTATCCTTTCCAGTCCAGAAGCTTGAAAACGTCTTCCAATGCAGCGGTGAAGAGTTTCGGGGATATGACGTCACCCTGTCTTACACCTCTCTGCAATTGGATAGGTTTCGTACTCTGGTTCTGTACTCGGATAACCATCGTAGCCCTACTGTACAAGCACTTCAACACTTCGATATACCGACAGTCAACTTGGCACCGCTGAAGGGACTGCCGCACCGCCCAAATTTCGACGGAATCAAAGGCTTTCTCATAGTCCACATACGCCAGACATAGTGGCAAATTGTACTCTTCGGACTTCTGTACAATTTGCCGAAGGGTATGTATGTGGTCTATGGTGCTAAAGCCCTTTCGGAAACCGGCTTGTTCGGGAGGCTGGAAGTCGTCAAGTCTGCGCGCGAGACGATTCGTAATGACTCTCGAAAACAGCACGTAGACGCGGCTCAGAAGGGAAATCGGTCTGTAGTTCTTCAAGAGAGCGTTGTCACCTTTCTTGAAGAACAAGACCACCGCACTTCTGCTCCACGCCTCCGGTGTAATGCCACCATGGAGGACGGAATTAAAGAGCTTCTGAAGGACTTCAAGTACCGGTCTTCCACCCGCTTTCAGAAGCTCCGCTGTAATTCCATCCTCGCCTGGGGCCTTACCGTTTTTAAGGTGCTGGAGAGCCATTCTAATCTCGCTCAGACTGACGTCCGGGATATCTTCGGAATAGTGTCGGATGAGACTCGCTCTTGGATCGTTACTCACACTTGCGTGTGGCTCCAACGATGACGTGTACAGCTGCCCATAGAACCTCTCAATCTCACTCAAAATCTCAGGTGTCCCGGAAACGATGCTGCCACACTCTGTCTTCAGCTTTGACAGTTGGCTCTTTCTGGCAGACAGATCTCTGGCAAAGACTTTGGAGCCTTGGTTCCGCTCAATCGCTTCTTCAATACGAGCTGTATTGAAGTTGCGTAAGTCCCGCCGCATGCATTTGGAGATCTGTCTGTTCAGATGCCTGTATGCTGTCAAGTCTGTTGAAGAATGTAGCTTCATCTCCCGTCTAACAGCCATGAGATTAAGAGTGTGATCGGAGAGTTTTTGTGTTCTTCTGCGGCGGGTCTTGCAGAACTTAGCTCCGACCGCATGGACAGTTTCCACGAGCTTGTCATTCATATCGTCCACTTCATTGCAGTCTTCTAGGCACTGAAAACGGTTTTGTAACTCGAGCTGAAAGGTCTCGGGACTTTGGAACAGAGCACGAGGGGGACGGAGCGTTGACTTCATTAGACGAGACCTCTCCAACTTAACGTTTAGGTTCAGTGTGCCTCTAACCATTCGGTGATCGCTACCAGTTTTCACCCTCGCGATCACGGAGACATCACTGAACAGTTGTCGTCTGGTCGTCATAATGAAGTCAATCTCATTTTTTGTCGAACCGTCGGGGCTCGACCAGGTCCACTTCCTGTGGGGCCGCTTCTGGAAGAAAGAGTTCATCATAAAGAGTCCCTCTTTCTCCATGAAGTCGGCCAGCTGCTGGCCCCTTGGGTTCCGTTGCCCTATTCCAAATTTCCCTACTTTCAGCTCACCGTTCTCTCTTGTGCCTAGTTTTGCATTGAAGTCTCCCATTAACACCGTATATTGGGTTTTGGAGGAATGCATGGCTCTAGAGATATCCTCATACATTTCCTCCACCTCCCCATCGGGGTGTGCCGAGGTTGGTGCGTAAACCTGTATGACCTTCAGCGAATACCGTTTGGTGATTCTGAGTATAAGGTACGCAACCCTCGTCGACACACTCCCGATCTTTACAACGTCGTTAACGAGAGACTTGTGGACGATAAATCCGACACCTCCTTGGGACAGATGGTCGCCCTCCCGGTGATAGAGCAAGTTGCCGGATTCGAGGATTACCGTGTCCTCCCCCTCTCTTCGGACTTCGGATAATCCTATAATATGCCAGCGCAACTTGTCTATCTCTTCTTCCAGCTCCACGATCTTCTCGTCAGTCCTCAGGGTGCGTGCGTTGTACGTTGCCAGGTCGAGTCGTCTAAGGTGGCAACCGAACCTCCACCGGAGATTCTTAGCACCCCCTGCCCCGCCGTTACCATGGTCGCCACCGTAGCCAGGAATAGCGGGGCCGCCGGGGACTGGGGGCCGTCTCTTAGTAACTTTATTCATTTGGGGGGTATTTGCCATAGTTGCCACGCTTGGCGAGCGGGTTGGCAACCGCAGTTTTTTTTTTTATTGTCTGGCTATTATCAGGAAGATGCTGCTGCCCATCTCCTGCCTGTTTCCCTTTGTCGCCTTTTACGACACCCACGGGAGGATATGGGGTAGTGGTATTCTTGACCGCCACTACACGGCAGGAAGGTAAATTCTCAAGAAGTCGTAAATGTTTTGCGCGTTTATTTTTGGTTGAAAATTTATGTTACTTATTTATACTGTTTAAAATATAGAATGTTTTCAATTATTTTGTTGATTTTGATATTTTGCAAAGAAAAAGGTCACGTTGTTGACAGTTTGCATGAATTTGGTAAATACATTTCTAAACAAAATATTTTACATGTATACTAGGGATTGACTCAACTATATCAAAATTAATGTCGATATTTATCTTGAATGTTTATAATGAATGAGACTTGCCCACACAAAAAGAAAATAAATCTTCGGTGTGCGTTCTATGAATGTAATTTTATTTTGCTGTTTGTCATACAGATTCCCCCCGAATTTTATAAATAGAAAAAATGGTTAAGGTTAATTGGACGGATTGGTTGGAATCCAAAGAAAAACTCAACAATGTGCAGCAAATATTTACTTTAGAAGTATAAAAGAAAAAGTAGAATAAAAACAATTTTATTAAAAGGAGCCATTTCTACATTGTTTGTAACAGTAAGTATAATATTGTTATAATAAGACTTCAAAAATTTAACTTTCAAAACTTTAGATCAAAATAGAGATAATCTTGAGATTATTCTATTTAAGCCATTATGCACCCAACTAAGTATCTATTTATCAACCGAAAAAATTTATAACCTTACTTAACGACCCGCACCTCACGGTCTCACTAGTGCAATATTCATAGCATCACGTTATTTTCCCCAAGAGGTTGCCTGGAGCTTCGGATTATATTCCCAAGTCACAATGATAAAACTTTTAGTGCCTCTAGACGCCCGCGCATGATACGCGCGGTTCAATGTGCCAGGATAGTGTGCCAGGATATATTCCATAGCGTATTTGATACTAACAACGCTCGATGCCCAATTCATGCTTGATGGTCAACGACATTGTGCTGAGGGCTTAAATAGCGTGGTTCATCGCCTACTGCGTTAGCGAAAAGAGGAACTCGTGGTTAAGTAATAGCTGCGCGGATCAATAGATCTGTGAGATTAAGTTGCACTTGCCACGGTCGGTCCATAAATGAGTGACCATATTCTTAATATATCGAGATTGAGAGAATAGAGCGTGCATCTGTATCCTCAGACACTTCGTGCACTTTACTCTGTCATTATGTTTTTAAAATTCATGCAGGTAAAATGATAATAAGTTTACTGTTACTTTATACTTTCAGGGTCAAAATATAAACATGAAGCATGATGAAGCCTCATAAACACATTGGCCTTTAAACAGAGCAATCTTATTTTATTGATTCCTACAAGTTTCCTCACTTAAATTATTAAATTTAAATGCATATTTTAATCGAAAGTTAAAATAAACTTCTATA